GAAACACAAACTTACTGGAGTGCTCTGTGATGTGTGGTAACGTGGAGAAAAGTGCTTATTTTAACTCAACGGGAGCATATCCTTGCTGCACTCGTCCAATGCTCGTGTCTTGCTATTTGCTAAACCTCGAGCAACATATGTATGCTAAATGGGCAGTGGAGAGTTAGCCTTGCGTTTCAAGAACACCGCCACCAGGGGTCGCCGTTCTACAAATGAGTCTGCTACTTAAGTGATTAAATATTTGACTTTTAATGCGTGTGCTTCTTTGGAAAAGGGGAGTATCTTTTAATCATAAATGCGACTTGCATCGCAACTTCAAAACCTGTAAAACAAGTATTCAGAAATAAAAGTGGAAGCAGGAGGTTACATAGTTTACACTGGAATGATAATTGGAGCACAAATATTTCAGAAAATATTCCTGTGGTTTATTCTTCAGAAATCATTTTAGCCTTGCATATCTAATTCTGAAAGCAAATTCCAAAAAAAGTTGTTTTACAGACAACAACACAAACATCTTCTCTGGAAATTTTGTATTTACTTTGTCATGAGTGACGGTCCTCGATCAAATTTACTATGGGGGCCAGGTTGGGGCACATAATAAAAGAATAGCACCAAAAAATAAAAGAAAAGAAAAGAAACAGGGCAATATCATATTGGGAGACTAAAAGCCAATGTTGCAGACCCCTTATCTAACAGATAAAAACTAGGATCCTATATTGATATGTCTGAATCTTAAGGTCCCACATTCTAATTTTTAAATAAATGCTCTAAGTAAACTGTAATGGTAAAAGATAAAATTGGACCACTGGATCAGGCAGTTACAGTGCATATCTTCATAAGAAATTGATTTAATGATATGTTTTCGATGCCATAACAGGGGCCAACAGGGGCCCCTGTCCAGAACTGCCTATGTTTGTTAAATTAAACCCCATGCTATCCTGAAATGTAACTTTTTACTAATATAGCCAACTGAGTATTGCAAAAATTACTAGAATAACAAACTAGATTAACTTTTTTCTTTACATTTTAAGGTAAAAATTTGCTGCTCCTCTCACTAATAAAATGTTATATATATTGAAAATGCAAGCAACATGCCTCACTCCAACCATAAACAATTTGACTATTATCAGGATTTAATGTGATGTACAAACACAGACTAGCATATAACTGTTAATTAAAGAACATTTCCATTTTGTGTATGGAAATGAAGGGTGCACCACTGTATCTAGCCCCTTATTGATATTTTAAAGAAAAAAATCAGTAAATTTAAAAGCCATTATGTCGCCATAATGTCATTTATCTGGGCCACACCAGATACAAATGCACATATAATACATAAATAAAGGTTAAAAAAAAACCATACATAAAGATGAAGAAGAAGCATCTTAGAGGAGATGTAAAATGTAAAAAACATTAATTTATATTTCATGGATTGTAATAGGTAGTATTCACTTAGAGTCTTAGAGGTTTGTTAAAGGACCCTGACAAACAAACAACATATACCAAAAATGCAATAGGGCAATATTACTATAACCCTCTGTGTCACACTATGTAGACTTGACAAACACTGACAGAAACTTAAATGCGGATTTCCTGTAGGGTAGAAATGCGGATATTGTTGTTGTTCCTTAAAAGTTAGACTCCTTTTCTAATGTATTCAGTGACCTGTTAGGTGTTAACTATGCTTCATATTCCAGACAAGACCGAAAGAATTGCGGATTTCTAAAGATCATACCTAAGATTACCCAGATACCATCAGTTCAACATGCGAGTCTTACAGTTATCTTTCTTTCATTTTAGCTTCCATCTTTTTTTTAGGTATGTTATCAGAAATGTTGCAAGTTATCCAGAAAAATGATTCTCTCTTAACATGCGGAAAAGATTTTTCTTTATTTGGAATAAAGATAGCCTCTCTGGCCTTTCAACTTTACTCTGCTGACCTCCTCTATGATGCATGTGAAGATTAATTTCTTATCCTTATGTTTAACCTTGGTATTATTCAAGTGTTAACGGGCAAATAAAGGCAATGTTGCTGTCATGTGAGTCATAGGGATCTCTGTAACTACACGAGTTGACATTTAATGTAAGTGCTTTTCAAATAAAACGATTTAAATCAAACGATTCAGGTGTTTTACGAGGGTCACAGCTTTTTCTTGATAAAAGTGTTGATAAAATTTTGCCAAATACCTGTTTATCCCAAAAAAATAAACTTTCTGCTTTTTCATGTCTGCAAAGGTTGATCTGTTACAGACTCTTCATAACCCCTTGTAACTTCATTACAAGGGGGATTTCTTGCATTAGGAAATATATATTTCAAAATACCACCTGGCTTAATAAAATAAGCAAAGCAAGCAAGAAATGTTTGGGAACTGTATATATTACTTATATATAACATTCCCTAAAGCTTATTCTAGGGAATAAGCTAATATGGGAGCGTTGGCCTAGTGGTTAGAGCAGTGCGCTTTTGCTCTGAGAAGTTTGAAAGTATCCGGTTTGATCCCCACAGCCTGCACTCTGGGGCCCTGAGCAAGACCCTTAACCCCACACTGCTCCCTGGACGCCTCGCGATTGCACCCCACTGCTCTCTAAGGGGATGAGTTAAATGCAGATAATTAAATTCTCCAGTGTGAGATCAATAAAGTTCTTATTATTGTTATTATCATTTATACTCATTGCTTTGTTCGTTCTAATAAGCTTTTGGGAACTTTACATATTGCTGATAATTAATGTGCCCCATGTCTGTAAAGCTCTGTGAGAAAAACAATTTGGTGGTTTTATCAAACCACAATGTGGAATGTATGCTTCAAGTCATATAGGACGTAAAAAGCCCAGTGAATGTCTATTTGCGCTAGAGTTGCTCAATCTTTATTAAGCGCTGTGCAGCTGGTTCAGAGCCATACGTCCCCTTGTTCAACACAATAACTCATCAAAACGTCACCAGCATGATTAATTCATCCCTTGGTGGACTCAAACCATCAGCAGCCATGAGAAGGAGACAACACAGAATGGAGTCTGTCTGAGTGGGAGGCAAAAAAAACAAAAAACAACAAAACAAAAACTAATCTGTGGTACATCTCTGAATGCAGTGCAAACTACAGTATGAAAACAAACCTATGTGCAAAAGTGTAAATTTAATGGATTTTTTTTCTTCTCCAAAATTGCACATAGGAACTAAAATATAAAATACACACCTACTGATATTTAGCTATATTTCTTTTATAAATTGGCAGAGAAATCATATTATGTCTGAGCAATATCCTGGGATAATTCTGCCTGGATATATCAGCAATTACACAGCTCATTCAAAGCAATTGTTTTGCTGGCACTAATATGCTTTTATTTATAATCCATAAAACGTCCATATGATTTAAGGCTGTGGCTTTGGGCAGGGCATACCAGGAGTTTAATTTAAGCCTGCCCAAACCAAATGTGTCCATGTCTCAATCAACCTCAACATGGAAGAAAACTAATTTACATGTTCAGGAATTAAAATACCCATCAAATATAGTGGGATGCGACTAATATCAGCTGAAGTTAAGAAAAATTAACATCCAAACATGCTGACAAAAAAGTGTTACCTAAAATGTAACACCTTTAAGCTCATGGAAATGATCAGCTGCTGGCATAGACATGCCAAATACTTCCTGGAGAAAACTTTCCTGATCTGATAAGACTAAGATCAGGTTCATCAGATACAGTAGAATACTGGTTGCTTTCTGGTGCAAAACCAGCTTGCATTCATGTTTTACACAGGTTTTAGGTCATACGTTTTTCAATTAACAGGGATCACTGTCCTCACCCAAAGTATCACTCCTCTTATAGAAATAAATGTTATAGAATAATAAGGCAGAGCATCACTGAAAATTAGAGCTGCCTACGTGGATATGTATTGTTTTCTGGATGTAGGTTTATGATCAGGTGAAAAAAAGAATTAAGATAACTCTATGTCAGCTGTAAAGGAAGCAAAGCATCACCCCCAGGCCCCGCTTTTCTGTTTGTGGCAGTAAATGCTGAGGGTGGAATAATACGGGCTTTACCCTCATCTTCTTCAATTTCACAGATCCTTCCTCCTAGCTGCTGTAAGACTCTATAAGCACCACTGTTCCCAGAAACCTCAAAAGGTTGTTACATTCAAGCTGATTTTGCAAAGTTTCTACCTTGGTCAATTAAATAACATGCTGCTGTCATTTTGCACATCTCTGATGTTGCTGTTTTCAAATATCTGTTACTTAAAAAATGTACATAGCTGTATATTGATTATTTATTCTCCAGGTGCAGTTTTTTATATTGTTAAAACACTTTACATTACAGTATTTTATTGTTTATCTTTTAACTCTTAAGTTGTATGTTATTCTTATACATTTTCTAAGGTTTGTGTGACCAATTTTTAATCTCTGTTAAACAAACCAGTTAGTTTAATTAAACTATTTCTGAGAGGAAATGTGTTCAAATGGCTAGGCAGAATTATACATAAAGCATGTAGTTCCTCTGGGTTACATCTTAGCACCTTTTTAAAAGGTACAGGCGTACACCACTAATAATATTCTAAAAGGTCCTTTTAGAATATTATTAGTGGTATACGTCTGTATTAGAGCCTGTTTGTATAGCTTTTTAACAATGTTGATTTAAATGGCATTATGTTTGAACTTCTGTACTTATTTAAAAAATAGATCCACTGGGGAAAAAAACTGTTAAAATGTATTATCAGAACCAGAAATGATGTGTTTACATCAGTGATAAGTGAATGTAAAACTACCACAGACACAGTTTGATTTACTTTGAATGGGATAAAGGAATCAATGTGGAACATAAACCAGCTTTGAACTAGACATTAATTATGAATATGTAATGAAGAGGATCCATACAACCTCTCTTGTTGACCAATTGCTCACACACTTAACTTTTGTTGCATTATGACTCTTAATACTAATACCTTCATGTTGCCTGTTACTCTGAATGTGATTACAGCCTCGATTACAACCACATGACAAAGGACCAAATATTGATAGAGAGAGTTTATTGATGTTTCTCTTACAGTATAGGATAGTTCATCAGAATCCAAACTGTGTTTGCCTTACATCATGCATACAATAAACATATCAAAAAGGCCCATTAGTAGAGACCTGTCATTACATTTTTGTGTTTTTTTAAGGCATACTGCACAAAATATATCACGTTAAAGCTTTCATCTTGCATTCAGGCACAATCAATTATGTTCCAACAAATATTAACTGGGACAAAATCAATTAACTTTGGTTGATATCTGGATTTATAATTAATGGTTAATCAATTTTAATTTTTTGCACATCACTTCCAGTCACTATTATCAAATAAATCATTTAACCTGTTGGAATGACTGCATACTAACAACACAAAGCCACACCACTTTACAAGAAGAAAATAACTGATTAAACGACATGATAGTAAAAAGGCTCATTACAAGCAGGTAATAACTGAAAGTCAATTGCAAAACCAATAAATCACGATATAGGTCCCATGTTTGGGTAAATACTCAGTAAAATCTCAAATACAGGCACATCTAACGTCTCTTGTTCTTTTTTACTCATCGTTTGTAGCATCATTCTGCCCTCAACCTTTAACCTTCCAGTCGGCCGTTTGAGATAACATGTTACTTAACAATCGGAGAAGAGGAAAATCATCAAAAAGATCACCTTATGGACTAACACCGAGTAAAGCTGTCTTGAAATATATCTGTAAAGACAAATAACCCCAACCAGCTTCTTTTAATTTTGAAAATAAAAACAAGTGCAACCTTTTGATGTCAATCTGTAAGTTTTGCATCTCTAATGGTAATAACTTCATAAATTGTTGTAGTGGATAAAAAGGTAAGAAACTCTCCAAAGTTGTTGTCATTTTTTAAAAACCTCAAACCATAAAAGGCATTTTCCATGAAAGCAAAAATCTGTTTTTAAAAAAAAAACAGAAACCAATATCTCTCTAGATTTAAAAAGGTTTTGTCAAAGTGCACAATTGGGGCTGTTATAGAAACACAATATGCAACAAAAACATCATCTACATACAAAACGGAAAACAATAGTTATATTCACAGCAATTTCTCTGTTTTACCGCTACAGATTTGTATAAAAAGGTCATAGACAGCTTCAGAGTTTTAAATCCTTAGCATGAACTCTTAACCCTATGTGTGAGGTATACTAACGCAGCACACCCTAACCAGGCAATGACCCATCCATCCAAGGTTACCCAGACTAACGTCCCTGCATGTCAATGCTTAAGTGAGAGAAGCCAGCCTTAAAAAAAGAGCGTGGGGTTGTGGCGCTACAACGTGATGACAAACCTGCTTGGCTCCAACTCATCCGCCCTGTCTGAGTCATAACATCAGTCAAACATCCAAACCTATCACTCACTCACACATCAGCCAATCAGAGCAATCCTTGAGGTTGTTCAAAAAAGGTTCCTAACGAAAACCCACCCACATGCCCTGTACACCAATAAGCTAACAGTAATACTAATCAGACACACCAAACAATATAACATGCTCTTATAAAAAAAGAATCAAAAAACAAGTATAAATTAAAGGAATATATAAAAAAATGATCATAATAGAGAACACAAACGGTACTGATGAAAATAAACTGAGTTGATGAAACACAGTGGATCAGGTGAAGGGACACAAAGTGAAGTGGGATTAGAAAACTGAAATAAAGTGTAGCCATCAGTGACCAGTGTTTAATAATTTGGTGGGGCTTCTCTTTAGAGCTTCTATGGAGGACATCTGATACTGGTGCAGCACAGCTGGTTGACTGTCGCCCACATTTCGGCTCATATACAAACTGAAGACTAAAAAAACAGTAAATTTTTATTTAAATAGATATTTGTAATCAGTGCTGGGGTGTGTTCTGATGTATTTAAACACCAGGAACCTTTTAATAGGGTATATCTTAGTGTGCTTTTGAAAAAAAAAAAAAAAAAGTTCAGATCAGCATTCAGGATTCAGAGTACTACAGAGAGCACTGCTACAAAAAGATGTAAAGAAATAATTTTTGATTTAGACTCATTTATACAGTATGTGTGCTGTTTAATAGATGTAGATGTCTAAGTACAGTTTGGCTATCTTAGTGTGTCACATGTTGCTTGTCTGAGTTTCTGCGTTTAGAGTCATGGCTTATTTTTTTCAAAATAGCGGTGGATGGTTACACATCCGTGGTAGCATATTGGCCGGGGCATGCCTCGCTCTCCTGTCAGGTCTCCTGTTGATGGGTCGTAACATAGGATTTTATCCGTGGCTTCACCATTTTCCCCTTGGCCACCGAGGATATAGATCTTTCCGTTAACTACAGACATGCCACAACTCTCCTGTGAATATGACAAAAACAAACATTTCAAAAGGCTGCTTGAGTTTATGTAAAATATGTACACAGTTTGCACACTGACTCTGAAAAGATCAGAACCTAACCAGTCACCTGTTTGGAAGAGGTCTGGCCCACAAGCATCCAGTAGTCTTGTGCCGGGTCGTAGCAGTAAATGGACTCCGTAAGGCCACCGCAGACGTAGATCATGCTGTTTAGGGACACTGCTGTGATGCAACGCTTAGCGATGGGGATGCTGGCACGGAGTGACCAGCTGTTAGATTCTGGATCGTAGCACTGAACCTGTGGCATATAGTTAAATTATTGGTAAAATATATATATATATATATATATATATATATATATATATATATATATATAAATATACAAAACTCATAAAGAAAATATTTAATAGAAACAATAATTTTTAAACAAAAGTTATAAAATGCTGAGAATATGTGATTCTATATTCTAATTAACAGACCCTCATGAGCTGATATAGATTAGTTTTTTCACTCTGAAGGTTTATGTTGTTAGGGCCATGGAAAGGTCATGATCAGGTCTTGTACTTTTTTTTATTTTCTCAAGTTTCAACCATAAAGTTCAATTTATTTTGTTAGGGCATGTGGAACATGACATATACATAAAAAGTAACATCAGAAGCCATTGAATTTATCCTCTGAATCAGATCTTTATAGAAGCATCTCTGTCTTCAAAGAGAGCAACGATTCCTTTGAAATGTTTTTACCAGGTTTCAACATCTAATAAATTTAGCCTGTTCTTCCCTTAGTGGCTTAAACTCAGGTTGAATGGATAGCATATGTGAAAACCAATTATCAGATCTTGCCAAATATTTTTATGCTAGGCTGGGCTTTAACAGGACCATTATAACAAATTACAACGACGTGAAGATTTGGAACTTTAGTAATTTGCAGCATTTTTCCTTTTTGTCACTCATGATTTGACGAATAACTAGAAAAGCAATCAGAGAGCACAGATCTCCGCCAAGCAGCAAATTTTGCCCCATATCTTGACTTACATTTATAGCTAAGACTTGCAAATGATCTGGATCATTACCAAATATTATCTTCCCACCTTCTTCATTCACTCTTTTCCTATTTGATCAGCAGATTGAGACTTTGAGCGAGGCAAGGCTCTCCTTTACTAAGTTTTTTTGTCCAATACTTCTGGACTTTTTTTCAGTCTGATGCTGAGGTTGTTAATAGTAACCGCTACCACTCTCTGGTTGTTCTGACAAATAATGTTAAGCCGGGCATACACTGTACGATTTTTTTCCCTTTTAAGGCCGACTTTCCAGTCATGCGAGAATCTTTCCTGATTGTGCGTCGTGTAGTGTACAGGGGTAATGAGGGGCGATCAGCCTCTCACGACCAACTCCCAATCAGGAATTGTGAGGTCGGGAGAAAATCAAACATATTTGAAATCCAGTTGGCCGTCGTAGACAAATCGCTCAGTGGGCGTGCACAAACAATGATTCCTCTTCTTCCTCTCAGAAGAAAACAAAGAAGCATGGTGGGGGTGCGAGTGAAATGGAGTTCTTTCTGTAAAACTGACAGACCGTAGTAGCCACGTTAGCTCAGCCATGTCTTTGTCTATATATGTCGTCGTCTTTTCTTTTCAGGGCTTTCAGCACACAAACTTGCCCAAATTGCCAAGGCAGTGCATTTCACTCTAGGGCGGCTTTATATTCTTCTTCTACTAGTTTGGCTTCTGGATAGACGCGTCTGAGTAGCTCCATCTCACTGCGGAGCTGAATCCCACGTGGATTTTAGACGTACAGAGTGAGCAGGTAGATCGCATCAGAGCGTCGGGTCGCACAGTGTGAGAACATGCATCGTGAGGTGTGAACTCACACTGTATGACGTTGTACAGTGCAACGATTGAAAAAAAAAATCACACAGTGTATACCCGGCTTTAAAGAACCATTAAAAAAAATTCCTACATCCGGATTATGATGTGGATTATCAACGAGTTTTAATGGTTTTCTTTGGACTGAGGTGGACTGATCTGTTGATATTTTTTCAGGTTATTCTGTACAAAGACAGACAAACGGGTAACAATAAAACCTCCTTGGCGGGGATCAAAAGTAAATCATTCAGATCCTGGAGAAAAGAGGCTCCATCGAAAGATGTTGAAAGCTTGGGATATTGTTGTATAACAGATGAGGGTTGTGGATGTTATGTAACCAAATTGTGAAAAGTATAAACAATCTAAATGCCTTTGCAAGGAAGTATTTATCAAACATCCTCCACTATGTTCTATTTCTGAGATGGAACCATTATAACTTTAAAATAAGAGGCCTTTTGGCATTATTTATGAAAGTCTTTAAGGTTGAAGCTTAGTAAAAGTAAAATCTGCCAACATTTTAGATTCCTCCTTGTGTAATGAAAAAAACTATGAGCTGCACAGACAGGAAGGCACCCATCTTTGTATTATCGTCCATCAATCACAGGCTGCCAGTCTGACCTCCTTAAAATTCTTTTTTTAACGTAGGCAAACATTTAGCTACTCGTTAAGATTACATATAAGAAATACTTCCGAGGAAATTTAGGATTCTCAAGAAAGGCTCTCCATAATTGACCAGAGCAGTTCAGATCTTCAGCAGACATCTCACTTCACTTAACCAGAACATAGGATAAATATGCTTTTTATCTGCTTAATAATAAAATTGAAAATGTATTTAATCATTGTTTAGTCTTAGCTTTTATTTGTCGAACTATATCATTTTTGGCCAATCCTACATTAGTTTTAAAATCCAGCTCCTTTCAACATCTCTCCAGCATCCCAGTCAGTTGATTTCTTGTTCTGTTTCTATTATGAATACAGCAGTTTAGGAAGGTTTGAAAGGTTTTGTTGCAACATGTTTTATATGAGATGCAGATCTTGATTCAATAAAAAGTCTCTGAACCAGATCAGGCCTGCAGATACTGTCTGCAGTGAATACATTACATGAAAGAAAAAAAAAAGATTTTTTACTTACAAATTACTTATTTTATTCTTATAAATTTTGCAAATTCAAAATTAGAGACAAGGAAGAAGAAAAGGGATAACAGCATGTTCCTTCAACTTTTTTCAAATCACTCAACATCAACAAACCAAATAATATGATTGAAATCCTCTTGTTAAAGAGAAAAGACACTCCTGGCACCCTTTTGTGTTTCTCCTGTGGAAGGGAAAGCACACAGATGCTTCTCACCTTGTCTGAACAGGTTTCATCATCTGGCCCTCCTCCGATAACATAGAGCTTGCCGCTGCAGCTGGCCACAGCTGGAGAACTGACAGCCTCTTTCATTGGAGCTACTTCTGTCCAGCGGTTTGAGAAGGAATCGTAGCACTCCACACTGCTCAGGCGGCTCTGCCCGTCATATCCACCAACAGCATAGACCTTAGGGCAGAAATGCAGGAAATCACTTAAATACAGTCATGTCTTTGATGTGCAAAAAAGCCAAAAAGCTTTAGTTTAAGGAAGGATTATGAAACGTAGTTATTATACAAAAAGGTTGCTTAATATAGGAGAATAAGAATTTTGTGAGCCTAAACAATAGCGTCTAACATACGCACATAAGAAACCAGTTAGTCAGGTCCACAAGATGAATGACGTTCTGCCACTAGATGAAGATGTATTCTTGTCCTTTTCTTAATGTTACAAACCTAAGTCTATGCGTATGTCACTGAGAACCTACAACAACAAATACCAGGTATATAATACTTTTTTTTTTCTTTGAAGTGTGCTCACTGAGCATAGAAATGTTTATGGCCTTTCAATTCTTTCTAAAGGAACACTTTTTTCATTTTCACATTTGAAAACATATTTCTCCTCATAGAGGTATTATACTGTCAACCTGAGCAGAGGGGGAACTCAAGTTGAACAATGAATCATCCGATTAGCATTTTTCAAGATAAAACTCTTTAGGCAGTTCCTCACACTTGGGGGTGAGGGGGGGGGATCAAATACACAAAGGTAAGACTAAAAACAGAAAGAGAAAATGAAGAGAAGCAGGCTAATTCAAAAGACGGAACATACTGGGCCTTACAGCTATTTGCATAAATCTCCTGGGTAGACCAACTGCCGCTTTTTCAACCCGAAAGACAGTTTATTAACGGTCCTCATAATCCTAATCAGACATTTTTTTTCAACCATGCTTCCAGTTTTTTTTTTTGTTATTACTCTGTCACAAGTACAGAGCAACGAAAGGAACTCTCTACATTTAACCCATTCCCTTGGGGAGCATTGGGCTACCATTGTGCAGCGCCCGGGGGAGCAGTGTGGGGTTAAGGGTCTTGCTCAGCCGCCATTCCCCTCCAACAGGCCACACTCCCCTCCACTCCCCCTGCTTCCAACAGAATGTTTCAAAAAACAATACACTAATGAAACGGGCCTGTAAAAAATTATGGTACCCTTAGAAAATACTGAACACTATGTGAGCAAAGGGACATGTTAAATCAAAGTGTGTCCATCCATTAGCACTACAGCTGTTTAAAATCTTTTAATCAGTCAGTGGGCCTATATATAGGACTACAGGTCACTATGCTGTTTGGTGGCTTGGTGTGTACGACACTCAACATGGACCAGAGGAAGCAAAGGAAAGAGTTATTTTAGGGGATTAGAAAAGAGATTATTGACAGGCATGTTAAAGGTAAAGGCTATAAGTCCATCTCCAAGCATCTTGATATTCCTGTGGGACTGTAGCCAATCTCCCTGGATGTGGCTGCAGGAGGGCATTTCACAAAAAATCAAAAAGAAAGATAATATGATTGGTAACAAAAGAGTCCAGAAAAACTTCAAAAGAGATTTAAGGTAAACTTCAAGTTCAAGAAGAATCAGTGTCAGATCACATCATCCATCATTGTTTGAGCCAAAGTCAGACTAAAATTTGCCAAACTACATGTTGAGAAGCAACAAAGCTTCTGGAGGAATGTCCTATGGACAGATGAGACATAAATTTAAGTTTTTGCTAAGGCACATCATCTCCATGTTCACAGATAGGAAAATGAAGTCAATCAAGAAAAGAACACTGTTCCTACTGTGAGATGTGGATGAGGCTCTGTTTGCTTCATCTGATACAGGGTGTTTTGAATCTCTGTAGGGTTCAATTAAATCTTAAAACTATTAAGGGATTCCAGAGGAAAATGTGCTGCCCAGGTTCAGAAAGCTTGGTCACATTCACAGGTCATGGGTCTTCCACAGGATAATGACCCAAAACACACAGCTAAAAACAGCCTTCTATGAGCCCTGAGATAGATTCTATCTTTGAAAGGAGCTGAAACATGCCATCTGGGGAAAAAAGCAGCCTTCAAATTGGAGACACCTGGATCCGTTTGCTGATGAGGAGGGGACCAGAATAGCTGCTGAGAGGAGCAGAAGTCTCATTGACAGTTACAGGAACTGACTGCAGTGATTGCCACAAAAGTTTGTGAAACAAAATAATAGGTTAAGGGTACCATCATCTTGGTCTAGGCATGTTTCATGACTTAATTTTTTTTTAAATCATCTGGTTGAAGCATTTAATGTTCATCCACAAACCCCCTTGCTTTAAGTGCTGGCAAAAAGGCACAACTATAAAGGGACAACCTAGATGAGTTTAACAAAATGAAAAACGCAGGAACATTTCCTATTTAAAAAATCTCAGAAAAAGTGAGAAGTGAAAAGGGAGAAAGAGACTGATAAATATGCAATAAAATCCATGATCAATCTAGAAGAAAAACACATTGGCCACCCATTTCACTAAATACTTTGTTGATGTAAGACCAGTCTAACAGGAAAAACAAGGTTAGAAGTTTAAACTATAGTGTTAAAAAGTATGTCAGTAAGATCTGTGTGCATGCAGTTAATAAAACAGGCATGTAAAAACGTTTTCATTTTCTACGATAGAAATAAACCGGCTGGAGAGTTCTGGTGGAGTATGGAAGCATATACCATGGCTGCTTGTTTGTGGTATGTGGGCTTGCAACAAAGCTGCCCATCAAAGGAGGAAATTAAAGACAGAATGAGGAAATGACTGGGGACAACCCCCAGGGGGAGGGGGAGGCAATTCCTCAGAAATACATCAAAAACGCACTGAATGGTAAAGATACAATTACCCACATAGGAGTAAGACCATAAAAACACTGAGCCAAACATGCAAAGAATGACAAAGATGTGACAACTAGGGGAAGAAGAAACAAAAATCTGTATTCTATTAAATTCTCTAGTTTTAACAGATTTTCAAGAAAAAACAACTATATCTAAAAAATAAGGAACTGTAAAAGAAAACAAACCTACAGTAAACCTCCTGGGATAGACTTTTTTCATTTTCAGCAAGTTCCTTTTTTCATCAACTCATAAATATATATCTTATAATATCTTTATGATATTTTCCTACATATTTTCTATAGTGCCTAAGAGAAATGCTTTGTACTTCCAGTTAAGCATGTTGTATATATATATGAAACTATTTCATCTTGTGCATTTATAGTTAAATAGTGTTTAATCCGACTTTATATCCAACAACCATTTCTACTGTTGATTATTTGCCACATGAAGACCACCCAGCTGATTGTTGTGGGAGAGAAAAAATAACTGCTTCCTGTGACAAGGCCATCAGGTATTTTTGATGTTGTCTTGAGGTCGTAGGAAAGAAGAAAAAACCCTCAGACACTAACAAACTAATCTCATAAAACTAGATCTATGACTCCTCAAACTATAAATGGCTCAGTATCATGCTGTAGCTTTCTAGGGATACCTGAACTTGTCACTGCTCAGCATGTTTGTGTTTAAGTATAGGTTTGCTACAGCATGTACATGTCTGACTTAGACTTAGACTTCTTTATTTGTCATTTTGTATGCACAGGGTGCATACAGAACGAAATTGCGTTACATACAGCTTATGAACGTTGCATTGAACGTTATGTCTGTAAGAGATATGTAGTTTTAAACATGTCTGTACAGTCTGTCCATTCCTATTCATGTTTGCTTATATTTTTAATGCTTATTGCAATTATTTAATACCAATTTTCTCAGCCTTCTTTACATAGAAATAGGCATAAAGTTATCACAAACTACGCATCCTATCAGTTTTCCACCTTTTTGTTTGCTTTTTTTCATCAGATACAAACCCCTCTCTGGTCTTAACAGTTTCTCAGTCTCTCTTATTGGATCCATTTCCCTTCCTTAATAAATATTTTACTACATATTTTTAGAGTGTCAGAATGACACTTTGACATGTTAGTTTGGTGCACTTAGAGACATCTCAGCTCCTTCACCAGTGATCTATGGCTACTGCTGAGGCGCTTGTAGCATGATATAGACAAATGATTCAGTTGGTTCTTAACTTGGAAACATGAAGTGCTGGCACTCTTCCTGTGAACTCACACTGCCCTCAAGGAAGAATGTCCACCTGCTCAGTATGAAACTGTTTAAACAGCAACAAGATCGCAACACTGTCCACCAGCAATCACTGATTACAAATCAGCTAACAATAAGAATTCAATTTAAAGGTATAACTTTTCAGGTGCAATCCATATGTTGTCAAATATATGAAGTTGTCCAGAATATAAAAATGTATAATTAAAACTTCTAATATAGCAAGAAAAAATTATTATTGCTATCTAGACTCTTGTTTATCATCAGATCGTATAAATATTTAGCCTTTTACTAAAGATTTCTGTGCAGAGGAACAACAAGTTATTCTAATTTTTTGAGGCCCTTCTGAGGGGCAGGGGGTCCTATTTGGGGAATGACGGCCTCCTGAGGTGCAGAGTTCGAGCCCCACTCCCACAGACTGCCACTCTGGGTCAATGAGCAAGATCCTTAACCCCACACTGCTCCCCGGGCGCCACACAATGGCAGCCCACTGCTCCCCAAGGGGATGGGTTAAATGCAGAGAGTTATTTTCTCCATTGTGAGATCAATAAAGTTTAATTTCTTTTCTTTTCTTTCTTTCTTTCTTTCTTTCTTTCTTTCTTTCTTTCTTTCTTTCTTTCTTTCTTTCTTTCTTTCTTTCTTTCTTTCTTTCTTTCTTTCTTTCTTTCTTTCTTTCTTTCTTTCTTTCTTTCTTTCTTTCTTTCTTTCTTTCTGTCTTTCTTTCTTTCTTTCTTTCTTTCATCTTAAAATCTATCTTAATTAGTTTACATCTAAGTTCATGTTAACCCTCAGTTGAACCATTTTAAATATCTGAGACAGGATGCCATTCATATTTTCTGAACATTATGTAAACACGCAGATTTGCCACATGCAAAACCTAGAACATTTAATTTCCTAACATGACGGTGCATGGTTGAGGAAAAACAATTGCAAGAGGACAGAAAAATCAAGCTTGTTTGATTCAAAAAGTTCCAAAGGTGTGAGAATTAGTTCATACAGGAACTTCATTCTAAACATATTCTATCTGTGATGCGCAACCTTCATTCTAAAGGAAAATCATGTCCCTCAAAAGAACAGCTTCCTTTGTGCCACTGCTGATGGATGTTTCAGTCACCACTTATACAGAAAAGCCTGGAAGAAACCAGCATGTTAAGCATGCAACTTATCTTTAAAACTTAGGAAACGAAAGCAGCTGAATTATTCGGTCGGACATCCTCATACTCTTTTAGCTTAGCAAGTTCTTCCGAATTCCTAAAGCCTACTGGAGTGACATGAATCACAACAGGTGAGAAGTAAGTATGGTGAAACTCTGCCCCCCACTACGATTTCTCTGAAGAATGCTTTACTGGCTTCTGTGTAAACAAGGACTGCAGCCTCTCCATAACATCTAATTACTGTACTATTTGGTGCATATGCCAAATCTTACTGCCATCCAGATGAGTTGCATGCAAAAACATGTTGTCTTTGATGTTGTGTAAACAAAAGCCTAACATCCACATACAGACACTTAATATCATGTTCTGCTTCCTGGGTATACCTAAAAGCCCCATTGGAGTAGTTAAAGTTGTTGTATCTCACGCAAATAATCCCTTGCAGTGCATGTGGGATTGTGCAACTAGGAAACCAGTCGGCCACATGCTAGGTACCACTGTGGTGCAAGCTACAGCCAAAATATCAAGCTGTAATAAAAAAGAAAAGAGTTGAAAATCTTACACCGACACGTGAGCTTCATGTTTTATTTACCTTGCCAAGCAGGACACCCATCTTGTGTCTCCAGCGGCCTTTGACAAGAGAAGCCACTTTGATCCAAAGGTTGAGCTGGGAGTTATACAGCCACACATCCCTGCTGTTAATCCGGCCTCCTGTAGGCACAACAAAACACTTTTGATACAAATGTGACAAGATTGTGCGAAAAGAAGAGCAGGAACACAAAGAGGCAAACCACTAATACAAATACACCTGCAAAGCTTACCAAGGGCCATGTATTATTCAACATATTGGCCTCCAGCACAAAGAAAAAAGGACATGAATATTTTCACCCAGATTCATCAGCTGACTACTAAAACAGTGAGACAATTTTCAATTCAGTGTAATATAATTAGATAGAGCCTATTTAAAACTGTCATAATTTTTAACCCTAAAGAAAGTAAAAAAAAAAAAAAAAAAACTCAAAATAAATGAAAATCAATGTTGATAACAAAGTCACTACGTCACTAGGTTTGCTTTCAACAAGTTCAGACATGTGGCTGTAGCCTCTCAATGGGGAGGCAGCATTTAGTCTAAAGATAGGGTTCTACCGAAACATTAGATATTTTCAACACCTTCTATCATTTTAAGCCGGGTTTGAAGTTATCTTTTATGTATCTTTATGTTTTATATTAACAAAACTATTGTCATTTTAATGGTAAACCACAAAGAGCCCTCACTAGTCTAAAAAGAGATGTCACAGCAGGTATTCAATAAAAATAAAATCTTAACAAAGCAATAATTGTATCATATAGAACATTTACAAAAACACTAGATGGGTGGGTATGGTTAGAACAAGTACATTTTCCTCAAAATGGTATTTTCCAATTCTTGTTTGCCCTATCACGCTTTGAAAGTGTTTGCCACCAAATTCTACACTAATTGTTTATGTGATCATCAATTTCAAATAGTAGTCAGTGATTCAAAATGACCCGGAAGGCAAAGTCACAGATAGAGACACAGGAAGGAAAGATAGTTGCAGCATGTGCCTATTTAGTAATGTTCCTGATAATAAAAGTGCCAGACAGTCTGCTAGCCTTGAGGCTATGTTGTTGATTTTTTAGGATGAAATATGTTAATGATTGCTGAGTGACTTAAAATAGAGAAAGGAATTTAGCAAGGTATTTTTAAAAAACACGTCAAACCTTTGACTGATAGATGTCCCAATATAATAATCAAAACATTAACTTATACTCTGCTTTTATGCCAGTAATTGGCTGTAATTTGTAACTATACATGAGGCAAGCTTATGTGTACCTTTGGATAGCAGAAAAAAATGCTCTTATATTACACTTATTCGCTTTAATGGCCTTTTATCTGTAAGTTGGCACGCTTCCTGTCAATGGACAGGGAAAAAAAACAAAAAACAACAGCTTGTATCTGCAACTGAGCCAAACAAAGATTAAGCCCACAGGCTGCAGCTGTGCTGGGTTATGGATTAGGGACTGCATTTGTACCCGTTTCCTGTGAGAAAAGGGAAAGACATACAGGAAGGAGGAACGTACACAAATGTAAATAGAAGTATAAAGGACAAAGGGGAAAACTACACCAAACACAATCAACACAATCATACCACCGAGAAAAAAAAGTGGGGCAGCGAGAATCTTAGGACTATAAACAAGTTATGTATATGTAACGTGCGTGTCAGTCATAAAACTTTGGGGGAGGAGCACTGTATGTTTTCAAGCAGTCTGAGAACAGATTTATAGCTCACATGTGAGGACTTGGCACATGGACAGATTCCAGCACATTCTTTGCTTAGAGGGACACTTTTCCTTATTTCCTCTCATTTTCTCTCCATTTTCTTATGCTAAAAAACTTTCTTTTAGCTGTAATGTTGAATAACTTTTTCACAGAATGTGTAAGCACAAACAGTACTCATAAACTCCCAACCATTTCCATTACTCAGTTTTCTTAAAATAGTTATACAAACATAAAAAACTGCACCACTGTCCACATTGCAATTCTAAAGTAAAACTTCAGTTATTTGAGCTGAGATGAAGATTATATTTGGATTTAATTTGAAAAAAACAAAGCAGGTCATAGACATGTCTTACATAATCCAAGTCCCTATTTTTCCCCTCAGAGGAGGTTTAAGCTCTTTTGGCACACATTTAATTTAGGAAACCCAGCTGTTACCAGGAAGTCTTTAGAGCTGTGATATTTAGGATTCTCTTTTGTTTAAAAACTATTCACTGTACAATCTGAAGAGCAGGAAAGTGTATCTAGAGCCCTCTGAACACAAGACTCTGTGGATGCAGCTAAAAGGGAGATAAACTAAATAGTTAAGCAACAGGAAGATTGAGCTGACAAATAAAAGCGTCTCCTAGCACTAGGCCTAAAGAGCTCCAGATGTTTTCAGCTTTTCCTGCACAGCTGAAACTGTTAGGGGGTAAAAGTGACAGAGGGCAGAACTGACCATTAGCTTTCCTGCCAACATTAAAAACACTGGATGGTGAAAAAGCAAAGCCTTAAGGATGTATAGATATAGTTTTAGAGTAACATTGTCCTTTTATGTATGTTATGAGGTTTACCTTACTACCAAAAAAAAAAAAAAAAACAGGAAAAAAAGGTAAAGACCTTCCTAAATTACCTGTAATTAAAAATTCTTTCTGTTTGACAAATTGCTGAGTAAGTGAAAACTTTGTTAATAAGTAATTACAACAATGTAATTCCCCTTTTCTTGTACCACTCAGCTTGCTTATATTTTGCACATACAAACTATCAGTGCAGGGTGTCCTTTTTTAGTGATATAAGAGAAAGAAGTGGAGCCAAACAAATAAAAGAAGAGGTATTATAAGAGGTAAATATTTAGCAGTTAAACACACTCAAAAAAGTAGTAAAGAAGAGACGAAATATCAAGCTAATATCTACTACAATGCATCAACTTAGACAGGATATCAGCCTTGTCAGAGTCACAAAAATCATTAATATTTTCATTGTTATTTATGTCTACCAGGAAATTCGTAGCCACTCCAGGTCAAACTTTCAGGTTAATAACAATAGCAAAAAATAAAAGCCTGGGACTCAACTCTAAGCCAGATATTTTTGAATTGATGGATAGGAAGCAAAACATCTTCAAACTTGGAAAACAAAGTCAAGTGTTTTTTTTTTTTACTTTTTAAAAACTTTTTTGAAATGACTTTGACCTGGATAACTCAGAATCCTCACCAGCATACAACAATGGCAAAAGGTTAAGCTAAGCTAGGAAAATAAGAAAAATAAGGAAACCCTGTAAGACTCCAGAACTGATGCCTTCCCACTTTGGTTATACGTGATTTAAAGACTTGATAAAATACAACTAATAAAACAAAAATAGCATGTTCTCACCAGACACTAAGATGTCATTGCGCAAGGCACAGACGGCGTACTCTGACTTGGTGAACTCAGGCAGTTTTGAGAGCGACTTCCATTCTCCTGTTACTGGATCATAGCAATCATTGTAGGGCAGGTTGAAGCCCCCCACTCGCTCACAACCCCCAACCACAACAATCACCTCTGAGAAGCCAGTTGACCTGAGTAGAGGACAGTAGGTTAAGTTAGACATAAAAGTATTGATTAAAACAGTGTTACAGCTGTATAATTATACAAAAGACAACATCAACTTTTTCCTTATAACATGTTAGAATCATGATTTCTAATTGAAGAAGTATGCTTAGCAGGAATTCTTTGCCATCTTCCCCTTGAGCACATCTTCAAAGCAAAATTTAGCTCATTATGGGGAAGAAAAAAAACTTAAACTGACAAATACACAAAACTACAGCTATGCATGTGGGAGAGAGCAAATCCAACATTGGCCGGTGTTGAGAGGATTAAGCTTTTAATTGTCTATACCAGTGGCGGCTGGTGGAGTTTTCTCCAGGGGGAGCTTTACATTTAAAATAGACCAAAAACCAATCAAAGGTATATTAAGTTATCACACCAGTATATTCATATAAATGCCAACAACAAAAAACATTATAAAAACACATTATAAAATAAAAACACAATTTCATGTACAGGTGTATTTTTTGTACATAAATCTTGCCCTTCTGAGGCTTTGTGAAGGCAAATCTGTGTTTTGCAAGGTCCAATAGTGTGTTACAAACTTAAAAAAGATTTACCAGCTTAATAGAAAAGCTATTAATCAGTTTAATATTTTTTTAATATATAAAACTATTTATTTTCTGACTGTTTATTTAAGAGCAATTATGCAAATTAACAAACATCTAGAAAAAGAACACTATGTTATATTATTTTCCCATGTAAATCCCAGATTGTTCATTCCTCTTTGCCTTTTCTAAAAAGTGCTTTAAATCAGTTATAGCTGTCTTTATCCATGCTGGGTCAGATCCCTATGTTTGAAAAAGGGACAGTTGAAAGGCAGGGAAAGCAGAATCAAGCATTAGTCTTGCTTAATGCAGTTAGCCGAGTAATGTAGCTAAACCAGGTCCTGGAAAAAGTGAACCGTCTCCATCTGTCTTTAAGACTACTGATTAATTTTAATGTTCAGCTGATCAGTTCCAAACGCTTTCACCTCCAGCTTATCTTGGTAAGTTTGATTTAAGGGAGTTCACTTCCAAGCTGTCAATCAGCCGCAGTACTACTGTGACGACGGTTCCTGTCAGAATAGGGCGCAGCTCTCCTGCGCCCCCAGCTCTCCTATCCTTTTACATTGCAGAGGAGCTACTGCTCGAGTACAACTTTTAAAGAGAGTCTATGGCCAAAGATTTTTGTGCCCCAGGGCGGAAATACGTCACCAATATGACGACAAACAAAACAGTTTAAGTTTTCATTAAAGATTAAATATTTATCTTGCACACGTAAAAAATATATAAATATAATTCGAAAAATTGTAATTTTATAATTACATTTTTTGTTGTTTTTTTAATGTCTTAATCAAGGTCATTGGGTGGTGGGGTGCCCTGGCGCCCTCTATTGACCAGCCGCCAGTGGTCTCTACGTCTAAAAAGCATTAGCTACATCTGTGTGTGTGCAACAGATCAATTATACATCTGCCAGCTCTGAAGAAAGGAAAGGCTCTGGTATCCACACAAAGCCAAAAAAACAAGCATCTGTTTTGATCCCCATTTGGCCCTCTAGGCAAGACAATAAAGAAAGGGACCAACTGCCTAACTGGTTTGCTGCTATGAACAACCCAGTCTGGATAATGACAAAACACCTGAAATTCATGTTGCTCAGCCTTAATAACTGACAGCTGGCACCAGTCCCAGTTTTGACAATTCACAGAGTTCAAATTACCAATGCAGCTGCACTGCTTATTATGTGAGGTAGCCCACCATATGCTCTTGTTTTTAAATATCGCATTTAGTTAGCTCTATCCTTTGTCCTGTATTAGTGAGTCCAACTGGACACTCTTCCAGCAACAAACAGATGAACCATCAGTAATAAATGAAACTTTGGGAAATCTATGAACGGTGAACAAACAGGAATGTAAGGAAAAAAAAAAACATCCAATGTGAGCTTTGACAATGGTAGAAAAACAAGACTCGATATTTTCATTTGATTGCTAGTTCTTGCATCATAATGTTTTTTTTAAACAGCTGTCTATGTTTGAACATGCCTTGCCTCCATCTATCATTTACATTTCAAGACAGAGCTACAAAACAAAGCCAAGGGAATGCCACACTTCTTCTCTCTCCAGCACAATAACACCCTGTCTGTGTCTCTGTGACAAGCAGCTACAACAACACATTGGCAGCTGAGAGCAACGAGTTTAGAAGAAACTTTTCTTCACGCTGAAATAGCGAAGAAAAAAAACAAAAAAGAAAAAGAAACAAAAACAAATGACTGACAGATGAGATCAATCAAGATCTTATTTCTCTGGAAATATTACTCATTAGAAGTCATTACTTCCATAGACATACATATCCAAGTTCCCTGCACCTTCCTCATACCAAAGGATACAAAGATTTTTCGTTACCTGCGTGGGCGGGTTCTGGGTGACATCATTTCATTTCCAAGGACATGGTAGCGCCTAGCCTCGTGGAGAAGTTGGTAGCATTCTGGAGCATTCTGGATGAGCTCGTCTCCCTCCACTGTCTGGACGAAGTAATTGGGGTGAAGCAGGGGCAACCGAACGTGCTGCAGCAAACTCTTCAGCATGGGTCGTCTCAGTTCCACATTGTGGTACACCCATCTCATAACTGCCTCAAACACCATCTCCTCCTTACTGACAGACAGGTCTTCTCTGCAAATATAGTCTTTCAGCTCTTCAAGGCGTAGGTCAAGGAACTCCTCATGGTGTGACACCTCTGTGAAGTTGGCTAGCGCGTAAGTCTTGCATTGGCTGGCAAGCTGCTTGAGAGAGTGAGCATCTGCAAAGCGTTGGATGCCAAGACAGTTGCATGGGTCCAGCTGGTCTTCCAGGAACTTTGCACAAGCATCCCTAAGTGTAGTGATCTGGAAGAGGTTGGCGGTTTCAAAGAGGGACTGGACATTCTCAGTGGTGATCCTGGCCCGGCCAGTGTAAACATAGTTGAGGAAGGACTCCATCGCTTCGGCCACAATCCCGTTGATTTCAACTAGCATTTCTCGGCTCTCACGGTGATCATTGCAGAACATGGCTTTGAAGTAGGAGGAGCAGGCACAAAGAACAGCACGGTGGCAGGGAAACTCGCGTCCCTGCACACTGATGATCACATCAGTAAAAAGGCGGCAGTCACGAAACTCATTGAACACCTTAAGAATCTCCTCTGAATGTGATGCACCAGAGCAGAAGTCAAAGATCTCGCCTATTTTGTATTCAACTGGCATTACCTTGAGAAAACAAAAATAGATTCATAAATATGACAGAAAATTATGGTTTAGACAAAACATATTTATATTTAGAAAATTCAGTACCTTGCGTTTGACAACCGGCGACTCTTTGGTGCCTGAGTTGATGTTGTTTACTCTTCTTCCCAAAATCAACACCATGGCTACCACCTTTACCAGACACGCTCCTTAAACTTATGGGTGATCTAAAATGATTAAATTAGCACAGCATTAAAAAAAAAAATGCTCATATAAAGTATCCATGTCGGTATTAATCAGGGAATGGATTGAAGAATGAAGAGTCAACAAAAGCGAACTTTTTTACCAAGACACATTAGAAACTAAATTTGACCCAACTGCATTGTGATCATCAACAAAGACTGAAATTTAATTTCAATTTGTCTATTTAATAAGATATAATAGTCTTGAAGTCATTTCTGGATATGAATTGGGACTTGTTATTTCCATACAGTGCTATAAGATGTGCTTTACACTACAATCAGTCATTCACTCATTCATGGTGGCAAACTACATTGTAGCCACAGCTTCCCTGGGGCTCACTGACAGAAGCGAGGCTGCTGTACACTGGTGCCACCGGGCCACCATCAGTAGGCAAAGCAGGTAAAGTGTCTTGCCCAAGGACACAACGACACTGAAAACCAGAGCCGGGGCTTGAACCGACAACCCTCTGATTGCAGGGCAAACTCTTGCATCCAACCCCACATTTAGATTAAAGTGGTGCTTAAGAAATAAACTGAACTTACTTATAATTCCATTATTTATTTAGGGAAACAAAAAAAACAGCTTTAATCTTACATAAAAAGCAAGGTTTTTAAGAGGCAAATGTGAGTGCCATAAACACACCTAGCTTTCTATGGCGTGCTCAACACCTCTACAAAACAGTTGTGGCCTGGAGCACAATTTCTGGGAAGAGAATGAGGATGACAAAGAGGCAGAGGCAAGAAAAAAACGGTTAGAGGCCAATTTACATGTCAGTCAAGTTTGTGCTGAAAGAAACTGAAGAGGGATGCTATCAGGAAATATTTAATTAATGCAGACTGTTTCTTTCCGGTAACATTTTGTAGATAATTGTATTTTGCATCATGTTTTCTTTTATATGTAACCTTTTGTTGTCTTTTTTTCTAATATAGAACTACTATTACATAACAAAGGTTTCACAGCCAAGAACATGTAGTTTTTTTTGCAAAAAAGAAATTAATTTAGAATAATCTCAATCTAAAAAAAAATGCCTACGGCTAAAGCGCCTCTTTTAGATTTAACAAGAAGACAGGCCTTAGTTCCAGTGAGGTAATTTATCTCTTTGTTATTTTTAACTTGTTAGACTCAACCCATTCACGTGTCTTATTTGCCAGCAGCGCAGTAGCAGCAGGCCTCTGTAGTCAGACACATTACAGGACAGGTTTAGCCAGGAGGCGTCTGACATTTGCTTTGTTAATGCGCTATACCTCAAAGGAAACAAAGAAAACATTTCATATATAGAAACACTGACCTAAAATAAACCTGGTATCTCATACTTAAACAAATTGAATTCATACCTCTGTTAAAGTTTGTATTTGGAAATATAAGTATGTAAAATGCATAACTTTTCTCTATAAAAATGATATAATATGTTATTACTGCTAATTAACTTAAGTGAGTGCAGCTGCGCGGACGGTTGAGCAAACTGGCGGTTAAACAAAGCCAACATGCCTCGCGCCCGACTAACACAAAAAAAAGTTAGCTAAATTCTTGTTAAATAAATATAGATTTTAATAAGAAATAAGCCTATTAAATCTGTGCAAATAGAAAAAAGTGTTTTTTACCTTTAACAGAAGCTTCCAGATGCGGCCTATGTCTTCTGTTATGAGTAAAGGAAAAACAAAGGGGGGAAAAAAATATTAGAAAAAAAAAACTGTTGAAAAGTTCGCCCCTTCTTATATGATATATTTAATCGAACTGTTATGAAAAATACGCCAAAATATAACACAAACGGGACATCCTGACGTGATACTAAATACTAAAACAAAGACTCTCAACTACCTGATTCTGTTGTAAACAGAACCCTTTATATAGGCTACATCTGCTTGTCAAGAGAAAAAAAAAAACGTTCCACAGGGCCTACGCAGTTTCTAGTGATGCATTCTGGGTAATGCAGTCTTTGTGTCCTTTTTTAAACAGAGATGTCTTGGACAAGAAAACTACGGACCCCGTGAGGCACCAGTTCTCCACGTGGCTTCCCTTTGTTTGCAAACAAACGCCAACTATACCGGAGGAAAAAAGTCATAACAAAACAGGTTGAAGGAAAGAAAGAAACACAAAAATCGATTTATGAGCCATTTAAGCAGTTATTATGTAAAAGTGTAGTTGATCGTTAGCCATTCGTAGTTTTAAACGACCTAAAACTAAAACATGTTTTTTGAGTAATAACATAGTTATAAAGCATATAAGCGGTTAACCCCCCCCCCCCCCCCCCCCCCCCCGCGCAGGTGACAAGGAAGGAGGAACTTAGTTGAAACAAAGGATGTCATAACTTCCAGCTAATGTTGCAAAATACTGTTTTTATACCGGATAACCCTCCACTTTCAACGAGCAAACTTGAAAACCTGACAGAAAAAAACTGAAATGTTAGAACTGTAAATTCAGTCATATGTTTATATTACTGTTTTATTTATTTATATATATATATATATATATATATATATATATATATATATATATATATATATATATATATATATATATATATATATATATATATATATATATATATATATATTTATTTATTTTATTATTTTTCAAAGCTGCACTTGTATACTTGTGTAAACAAATTACAAATAAATCTGTCTAAGTCTAAACCTTCAAATAGGACTAGGATGATAGGTAATGAACAAATTGTACATTGTTTTTTTTTTTGCTTTTTTTTTTTTTTTGAAGAATCCCTAAAAGTCCATGTTGCAATAATCAAGATTAAGAAACACCTGCCGATCCTAAAAAAGCAACTTAGAGAAAACTAAAGTTGTTTTTGCAAATAAAACAAATATAGGTTAAGTTTTGTTGTTGAATCAATCAAGGATTAGAATGATAGAGCTAGAAATGCTGGCAAATGTTAACACCTGTAGAATGTGCTGCACAAAGGTCATATGCCAAAGGTTTAGAAAACACCTCTGCTCTTTTCTTGTTGCAAGCAATAGCAGAAAAGCTGTTAAACAGACAAATGTGTCCCTCTGCTGTTGAGTTGCTGAAACACACAGATTGCCACCATGACAACCTTTTTTTTTTCAGTTAACTGAAAAGAAATGAAGGCTATAGTAGTCGCGGGTTTATTTCTAAAACAAGTTGATCAAGTTTTCTTTGGGTGATCAACTGTAGTATACTTTCTTTGTAGTCTTAATCTAGAACTAGAGAAATAAAAATGTGATTTGAAATTGTGTCTACGAAAACATTTGATCATTTAGCATCCATATATTACTTAAGAGTGACAAATTGACAGAAAATTTTAGATACAAATTTTTAGCACTAAAAGGAAACATTAATGGCCAAAAGAAATTGCCAAACAAAAGAATGTACAGGTGCTGCAGGGATCATGACCCGGATTCTTAGAACATGAACAATTTGTCATACATATTTTGTTAATCTGATCATGTAGGCATTAAAAGTTTAATTGGGATATGTTTAAAAACAATAGTTCAACATTATAGTTGAACAAACCTTATCAAAACAGACCTTTAGGCAACAAGTTCCCAAAAACTAGGCCGTAAACCACATGGTCATTAGTCTGCATAGTAGGTAGCTCTTCATGATGAGGTGTTTTCCCGGTTTCTCCTGCTCCAGTGTAGCAGAAGTGTGAGACTTTCAGCAATCTCGCGGTACCTCAGACCATACAGGTAAGGAGCAAGTGCCCTAGGCAGCAGCATGAAGATATTAGCATTGACTGTACTGATCCAGACGCGAAGATCTTGACTTATGTTTTTCCTTGGAAAGATGAAGAGCTCCAGGGCAAAAACAAAGCCAGGGGCAAAATAGAGCAGAAGAAGAACTCCGTGGACCAGCACTGTGACCCGAGCCCTAGAGAAGCGGCTGTGCCAGATTCCCTGCGTCCTTGTCACCATGTACAGGCGAATGTAGCAGTAGAGAATGATAAAGCTGCAGATCAGTGCAGAAACAAAGAAGTACATGTAGATCCCCTCGACGGCCTTGGCCTCAAAGAAACCAAAGGAGATGAGAGCCAGACACACAGGTACTTTCCCATGGGGACTCTCGTCCTGCATCATCATCATCAACGTGAAAGGGTATATGGCGCACAAGATCCACACCATGCCCAGTATGCCGTGGGTCTGGGTTGGTGAGAGGAGGTTATGGTAACGGAGAGGCCAGCGCACTGCGGCAAAGGTGTCAACCACCATGAGAGTCACAGTGAGGATGGCACTGCTGTAGGCTGTGACAAGGATGGCGGTGAAAAGCTCACAAAGGAGCCAGGGTATTTTAGCCTTCACAGCATTACCAATCAAAGTGACCTGGTTGAGGGTGAGGAAGAGAATGTCTGCAGCCAGGGTGTTGGCCATCAACAGGTAACGGGTCTCTCTACGTAAAGGACGTGATAGAATAATGCACACCAGGACAACGGGGTCTGCAATAAATGAGAAGACAGTGATGACAACGCTGGGGATGATAAAGAAGTGAAGATGCCAGTGCTCCATGCTTTCAGTCCAATCCTTTGTGAGGTTAAAAATGACTTCGGACGACGTCATTGCGATATTGTTTTGGAGGGGAAACACGGATAGATGATAATGGGGATTTATATGGCCCTGCACCTTGTCCAGTTACCTCCTGTTGGGAAAGAACATCGGAAATTACTGTAAATACAGGCGCATAATAAAGTCTAATCCAGAAATACATTTTGATTGTTATGCAACATCTCATAGTTGAACGACTTAAAATAATTGTATAAGAAATAAACCATTTTATAATGCAATTCATGTCTCCTTTTTATATCCTGCTTGCAGCAGAAATTACCTTACTAGGTGGACACCATAAAGTCAATGTCAAACATAAACAGTTTTTGAATGACTATGCTTTTGCAGCAATAGACACTTCTCAGTTCTTATAGGTCATCCAACTATATTTCATAGCCCATATAAAACTAGGTTAATAGAGGTAATTATGGAAATCAACAGTGCGTGCTTCTCGCCTGCATTCAAATTTAAACCCTTCATAAAAGGGGACTCTGTAACTCGTACATGTCTAATGAAAAGAAATGCGTATAATTAATAGGGCTCTAAAAATGAAAAGGATGATATAAGTTGGTATCAAACATGCCAAATCATAAATTTCATAGGGCATTACTTATAAACAATAGATTTCATAGGTCAGAATGCAAACAAGATATAAATGCCATTACCGTTCAGACAGGTTTAACACCAATTCAGCTGCCTGATATAATTCTTGGTAACAACAAATCAGGACGTTTTTATTGATTGAATGTGGGTATCTTACCTTATTTCTAAGACAAAATGCCGCTTGTGCTGCACAAATCAATGATCATCCATGGTACAACCTCTCCCACATGCTGCCTCTATCTCACAGATTCTCTGTTGACTCAGTGATAAGACAGAGATGCAAAAAGCTGAAACCACTTGTCAGTCACATAGTAACAGGGTGGGACTTTGTGCTTTTACCTATTCCTATTACTGTTTTTCCCCTCTTTTCAGCTGATTAAATCTTATTTTGTGCTCAAAATATTTTATTTACGATTACCCAAGATTCTATTTGTTTTCTCTGAAGATGGCAAATTTCCCCTGCAGCATTCAACGCCTCATATATATTTATATATTCAGTCTGCATGAGTTAAACTAAGGTCACACTAAACCCATCACACCTCAGCATGATGACGCCACCTAAACTAACACAAAAACGAGTTCCTCGTCAGCAGATTGAGAAAAATCTAGGAAAGAACAATCAGGTCCATAAGTGGGTACCAGACTTTTTTCTGGGGCCTAAAGATACACAGGCATGAAGAGACAGAGGAAGCAGTAAAAATGGAGCAGTTCATTTATTTGATTAGATGCATACATTCATTAAATAACGCAATGTATTCTTTATGCAATGCTTAATTCTAACAGCTCTCAATTATCTCTTTTTCTTCTTCTTATATCCACTTTTTCCATCGGGTTCCTCTCCTTCGTCATCCTCTTCCTCATCGCGATCAGCTTCGATGCTGCCATGCTCCAACTCTTCCTCCTTCCACTCTCTTGCCAAGAGTTTCTGAAACACATTATATTCCTCTGCCGACGCCTGAGCAACATCTACGATGAATGTGTGCTGGTCCACGTTAAGGATGCTGTCCAGTTTGGGGTTAATAATAGTGGTCTGTCCTTTTTTGTCCGGGGTTTGGTACAGGCCTCGACGCTCCAGGAAAACGTGACGACAGCGCACATCTTCCATAGTGAAACGGAACAACCTGCACTTCACCATCTCTGCTTGTTTGATTCCCATTCGGAAGTAAACGTACTGTGGAGACAGTATTTAACGCATGCAGTTAGAAAGAATAAAAAGTCAAAAATTACTAAGTCTACAAACAAAAAAAACTCAAATTTTAGTTTGTAGTTTGCAAATTGTAGTCATTTGGTAATTGCTCATTGAAAGAAAAAAGCCCCATAAAATCTTTTAACCATACCGTTTTATCTCTGCGTATTTAAAGAAGTCATCACCCAGAAATCTGACCTTTCGTGTTAAAACCTGTTTGTTGGTGTTAAGCTTGAATTAAAACCTGCTGGGTAATCTGGTGTGTCAAAGTGGCTTTTTTGGGGGGTCTGGGCTCATTTTGGGAATAATAAACTCTCCACGAAGTGTAATTTTGATCCTCCTCCTGTATTGACATCAACATTAGAAGGTAGTTAACATTAGCCAGCCTTGCCATAACTGCTCTAGTCTCTATTCCAAAAAAATAGCGGGGTGGGGGTCCAACATTCAAGAGTTTACCTGTAGGCAGCTGGTAAGTAAGTATAGTTACTTGTGTAACACATTACCTCTTGTGCAGATGACCAGAAATGAACCATGGCAAACTGCTAATGTTGCTAATGTGTACATCATAAGTTACCCCTCACATCCCCACCATGGACTGTTCTCCCTGGGAAGAGGCATTGCAGCATTTGCCGCAGGACCAGCAAGTTCTTCAACAGCTTTTTCCCCACTGCCATCAGACTGTTGAACTGCTGAGACTCTAATCAAGACTCTGCATCACACTTGAAAACATCAGATTTGCACTACCAACATGGCTGATTTTTTACATAATCCCTTTAAATAGAACACAACCTAATGTTCTACTAAATTTTGCACCATATTTATTCATTTGCACTGAAACGAAACCTTTCCATATCAATCCATTTTGATATGACTTGAAACTGGTTTTCCTTTTCTCCTACAGTTTACACGTTGATCACTGCTGCACTTAATACATGGCAATGTTAATTTCACCGCTGTAAGCCGCTCAATCCTTTTAAAAAGCTGTATGCATCGAAATTTCCTTTGATGCATACAGTTTGACTACATCTACTCTTGCAAGAAAAAAATGGTATGAAAAGGTGTCCCAATGAGATCTTTTTATTTGATTTTTTCTAAACAAATAAAAGGTGAAATTCCAATTTCAGAAAGACAGTATAATTAATAAGTAGTAATATTATTATGTCCTCATATGGAAAATCTTAGGAGTGTGTTCTATTTAATATGTTATATCAGTCATACTGCAAAGATCATATTAATGCAACAATGACTTCAGTTAACTACGGGAAAAATATAAACAGAAGATGCTTTATTTTTTTGTATAAACAAGTATAATAACAACTTCCAATTCCATTTAGTGTAAATAAATCAGTGTAAAAGCTAACTAATCTGCCCAAAATGTTTCCTTTAAAACGTAAACAAATCTAAAATCCTTTCATGTAAAAAAAAACAAAACTATTCTACATCTAAAAAAAGCAAAATATATTCAAATTTCGAAAATACAGAAAAAAAATTATTTATAGTTTAATTCATAAGTTTTATCAAGAGTTTATTTTAAATTGACAAACTCAGTTTATTCTTCTTATGTCACTCCTCTCTTTAATTTGCCAAAACTGCAATTAAACTTCCATAATTGATCAGTTTCTCTATGGTCTTGTTAGCAAAATTAAACGTTGCTCCTCCTTTTAGTATTTAGTAAATTGCTGCAGTCATTTTTGGGGCAAGGAAAACCCATTTTGTAACAAGGTAATTTATTACCTTTTTTTAATAAAACAGGACTGGTAAAGGAAGAAATGCACAATTGTATTGATTGAAAGTTTTGTTTTTGTTTTTTCTTAAAGAACTTTAGAGCCTTACAGTAAACCCGCTCTATTTAAGCTCTTTATATACTGACCTGAAACTTGTACTCTAGTTGGTCCAAGTCCTCCAACACCACCGCTGGACTATCTCGGAGGATTTCCGTCACCTGCTGGGTGGTAAACTGACACTTCTCTCTGAGAAACTGCACCACATTTTTTACAGACTTCACAGGGACGGTTAAGATCTTAGGGTAGTGGACCACAGTTCTCTGAAGACTCCCTATAGGAGAGACGACAGGAAATGTTTTATTAAAGTACATTGCCATGTAAAAGTATTCAAATCAAATTTTTTTTATCATATTATATCCAAAAATGCAATTGATTCCATTGAGATTGATTGTGATGAACTAAAAAGGTGCATGACAGTAAAGTGGAGAGAAAAAAAGGTTTATGGTAAAAAATGTTTTACAGCTAAACATCTGAATATTTGACCTATGATTAGCTATGTGGATGTTCCACCAAAAAATTCCAGTTTTTCAATCAATAAATGAAGAAACGCATCCCCGCAGTATCATACTGCCATCCCCATGCTTTTCATTGGGCATATAATAAGCTTTGGGTTGCAACCTGACAAAATGTGTAAAAATGTAAGAAGTATGAATACTTTTGTGAAATACTGTTTGATACTTTGATCAGTTCTTCAGTTGCTAGAGGACATATTTACCTTCAACCAAACCCAGCTTCCGTAGATGTTGTATCCGTTGCTGAAGCTGAGTCTCTTTAACCATGCACAGCTCAGGACACTTGTCGATCAGTTTCTGCACACTAGTGGGATTTAGTCCCAGGACAAATAGCACTGTAAGGGTTGATAAGACGTGTTTGGCAGCACTAGCTCCTTTCAACCTGGACACACTGTCGAATAACTGACCAGCCTGAGACTCTGTGAATCCCATATCGCTCAAAGAATGCAGGGACAGATCAGGAGAGAGTCTTTGGCTGCTCTGGGATGAAACAGAGGCAGTCTGATCTGAGGCAGAACATAAGAGTCTGCAGCCCAGGCACCAAGATGGGAGGTGGGATAAATTTATGGGCTTAACCTTGACTGGTAAGAAAGCGGAGGAGGAGACATTTTTTACAGTCTGTCGAAGAATCTGTGAAAGACAGAAATCACAATCAAAACACCAACGTAACAAACTGTAATGTCAGCCTAACAAGGTTATAACAGGTTCACGAGCTTGGTTCCTATCGATACTTCGGTGTTTTTATTTTAACACTTGGTCTACGAATGAGCTTCTTTAGTTAAAAAGAAAACAAACATCTTATTTCAACCAATCGAAATTAACTTAAAATAAAAGTTTAAATGCAACAAGGCATTTTAACTCACAAGCCGCACAGCAACACGGCTCCCCATGGCTGTCCGTCGTTTATTATCTTCCGACTAGAAACATTCCCTGATGCAATGTTTGGTACCTGTGTAACAGCAGGGGAATGTTTGTGGTGGGAACTGAAGTTCATTACTGTGTTTGATATACGGTAATAATAAAAAAAAAAGGTTTTCTTATGAGTCTCAATATTCTATTTTTTTAGATTGTCAGTTTAACAAATACAATCAGTAAACTATTGCTCCTATTATGTACTCCATATACCAGTCTTCCTTTAAACTTAAGCCTAAATTGAAGACAAACCCACTTTATAATCCAAGGGTGCCCTTTTGTTTTAAAGTAAAGCTTTATAGGGGGCAGTCACTACTGGCATCAAACAAGACCTTACTTGCAATTTCTGCCCTATCTCAACCCAGATCCCTAGATATGAAACAAGAAATCTAGCCCTAGAAATCAAAAACAAAAAAAGCTGCAACCTTTACAGATTTCTCTTGAAGTTGTCCAGGGAGCCTAATTCAATTCCTCTGGTCTCCAATGCTCTCGAGTCCTGTGCCTCAGCATAGTGCTTAACTTTAGATTGAAATTACTAAATTCAATGCTTTCCATGAGAGGGAGAGTACTTTTGGTAAGTGTTATAGTTTACAAAATAAAGCAGAACCTTTACTTTTCACCATCTCATCCCACCCAGGTAATTACATTTCCAGCTATACCCTAAGCTATTTGCAGAAGTGGACAGTAACTGGTAACATTTATTTGATTTACGCATGGTGTGACTCTACACACCATGAGTAACTTCAGCTATTCAGAAATCAGGTGGAAATTCAGTAAATTGCATCTGCAAATTCATAATTTCCTGACATGACCTGCTGTTAGGATTGGTTTTGTAAATTTATGATGAAAAAGAAATCCATTAAGAGGTAATTTTGTAGTCAAGTTATTTTGGAGTTTTTTAATTGAAGTCAGAATTAGCACATAACTCTCATAGTTTCAAACATTAAATCAGATGTTAGAAGCCTACAGTTATTCAGTATTTGAGTAGCCATTTTACTAACTTGAGTAGTTGGATACCGTAACTACTTAGCTATGCTTAAGTAGAAAGAAAAAGAGTTATAGTGATCTTATTTGATAAAAGATTTGGGTACTCTTCTCACCTCTGACTATATTCAACACACAAAAAAAAAACTTCCATCACTGCCATTTACAATTGTTCAGTACTCTGCACACACAGTGATACTTGGACAATTAAATCCCTCTTTATTTGCATGGAAAGGTGCCTGTGGTGTTGCTACCTCAGAAACCATGATTCAGGTTTAACCTCCTCACGCTTTAAACCTTTCCCCTTTAGCACTGATGGTTAATGTGTAGTGTGCAAGTCTACTTATTGTAAATGTTTGTTTCTTGCTTTCATGCACTTCCATGCCTTCCACATCTATACTGACATTAATAACCAGGCACACCACTTCCTGTACACTGATACAATTTCAAGGTGTCCAGTTTTTTTAGGTCAGCAGTATTCAAAGGACATGAACCTTTAAGTGTTCTTGGAGGACTTTCAGTCTGAGATTAGAAAGGGTATCTTCACAGCTCTTGTTTGTTCAAATAAACCTCATTTGACTCAGTATGTTGTTCAAGGTCATCTATAACATCCCTCCTTAGAGTCCAGCTCCACCCCCGTCTCACTCCAAGGTTCTTTCACTGAAGAAGCAATTAAACAAGTGATGTTTGGAACATGTTTGTGGGAAGACATTTATTGATGCATAAAAATAAATACAAAAAGTGTTTTAGATGTTTTTACATGTCATTAAAATATCCAAACATCAAGATTAAAATTCTGATTAAAAAGCTGTAATTCACAAAAAATAAATTAATAAAAAAATAGAAAGCCGAGAATCTATGATTACAACGCTAGATGTATTTATTTTAGCAAAGAGCAACAAAATGTATTAAAAAAACAATTTCAGAAAATGAAATCAAACAATAAATCTAAAGAGATTTGAGTTCTTCTGTTTATAGCTTCACCTCACCCCCCCCTAAAGGATCATGAACTATGACTGGAGTGAGACTGTGAAAAGCTGATTATAAAAAAATATAAATATATACATATTCATTAAAATCTTTCTAATTACTAACAAAAATGAATTGCTCTAAAAAAACTTCCCTTTAAAAAGCTTATTTTTTCTTGTGTTGTAACTAGGATATTCATGTCTGACAGACTGTTAGGCTGCTGTCATTTTAAATCTAGTAGTCAATCCCCAGAGAGGTACTTTTGGAGCTCAGTTTCCAGGGCCACCATTGACTGATTCTCTTCCTCATCTTCCTCTGACAGAGTCTCGTCACCATAATCTGGGAACAGACTCGGTCTGACGTATTCAGTCGGACTAGGGTCCCGATTCTGTGGAGAACCTGTTAGAAGATAATGAGTTTTTAGAATAAAATATGCCAATCCGTTCCTAAGCTAATCTAGGTATTGAATACTACTTACAGATGCTCTGAGAAGAAGGAACAACCTCAGTCCAGCTGTATTCTATGAGGGAAATGGGCTGGCTGATCCACGACTGCAACAGAAGCTGGTCTAAAGTCATCCTCTTTGCAGGATTGGAGCGCAGCAGGCCTCTTAAAACGGCATGCAGCTCTGAGAGGGGGCGCCAAGAATATTTGCAAATTATAAAAGACTGAGGTAATAAATGGAAAGAGGGAACTTCTGCATACCTGGAGACAGGGGGAAGGGAGGCCTTAGTTTGGCTTCAAGGATTTCCCCTACATCACAGAATGGGTTCTCACTGAACAGCAGAGTGTAGAGCAGAACGCCCAGAGACCACATCTCAAGCTCGGGACCCTCATAGCTGGAAGAGGAGCGCAATCATCAGATTCACCTCAGCAGTCAATACAGTGTTTAGCATTTGTTGTTTTAGTTTAAGTAATATTGCATTCTGAACACATGGATTCTGTAAACATTATAAAGTTTAATGGTTCATGAAGGGCTGTATCTGAGTGCTGACCTAGATTCTGCATGGGAGGTCTTATTGCTCTCTAAAGGGAGGAACAGAACCTGTGACCAACTCTAATAACTCTTGTCTGATCAACTTCACTAATCTAGAAAATTAGTTTCATGTGTTTTAGTTTGAAATACATATAATCTAATTGTTTTTAAAGAAAACAAATGTAGAAAACTCACAAATGCCCTGAATACATGCGTTTCTAAACATATAGCACTCTAGAATACCATTTTTACCCAATGTGCTATATAACAGCGGTCCCCAACCACCGGTCCCTTGGTCATTTGGTACTGGGCCGCACAAGCGGGAGTTTCTGCGGTTACAGCGACCAAAACAAAGCTACGGAGCAGACAGGACATTAGGAGCACGTTTCGCAGAAACAAACTCACTAATTCAACATAATGGTGAGTTTTATTTTTATGCTGTTCGTATTTGATTTTATGCCAGTCTTATCATTTTATTTGATTGTATTTACCCCCCACACTTTAAAGGCCGGTCCGTGAAAATATTGCCTAACATATAACCGGTCCGTGGCGCAAAACAGGTTGGGGACCGCTGCTATATAATGACTAAATATTGGGATCATTGTATCATTTATCTGCCATCATAAAGTTTGTAATTGGTATATTTTTCTGATGAAACCAAAAGGCAGATCTTACATTACACATAATGCAGCACACTGAAATTTTTAAGAGCAACAGGAACTAAATGAGCAGAAAAACAAAAATTGTTGCAATTTTTAAAGTGTCCTCGTCACTGAAATGGCTTTTAGGGATCTCATCTTTAATTCATACTTTGTTCCTGAGCTACCATCCACAACAAACATTGTAGAAACAGGAAGCTACATGGCAGTTTGTCTGGCCTCACATAAGCCAGAGTGAAATTTATTTATTTTTTATATTTAAATGAACATATCTTACACACATGCTTCCCTTTATTTCAACATATTTCTGCTAAAAAGTGTATTAGTCCATTGGTTGGCCAATGCAATAAAATATATGCATACCAAAAACTGACCAGTGTTTATGAACCTGTGTAAGAAGCATTTGATTTATTATTCGCATGAATGAAAGACTCACGGATTTCCCTGAAGCACTTCTGGTGAACAATACTCCAGCGTCCCACAAAAGTTATAGAACAGCTTCCCTGGAGCCAGTATGGCAGCAGAACCAAAATCTATCAGTCGAATGTGAAAACATTTGTCAATTATGATGTTTTCATCTTTTATGTCCCTGTGAATGATGTTCTTGGTCCTCAGATAGAAAACAGCTGCCACAATCTGGAAAACAGAAACGCACAGAACCTTGAGTCACAAAAACACTTCAGTTAACCTTCCATCTGTGCCATCGCCGGTCGTTAACATTACCTGTCTAAAGATATAGCTGGCCAGCGGCTCATCCAGCCTTGGCTGCATGTCTATGAATTCAAAAAGATCCAAACCATCTCCATGTTTCTCCATCACCATCTGGAAAAAACTCTCATTCTCAAACACCTCTGTCACCTAGAGGTTCACCCACACACACACACACACACACACACGCAAAGTGAAATGTAAAGTATAAAATAATCTAGTTTGCCTGAGGCTATAAAACAGCAATGTTACCTTCACAATGTTATGGTGTTGGACTCGGGTCAATATGGCAATCTCCTGGCTCACTTTTCCCAGCATCGGGTCATCCACCCAGCAGTCACTCATTATTCTTGCTTTGTTAATAAACTTCACTACGACCTGCACATGTTTTGTTAGGAGGAAAAAAACTGCATGTAAACAGGAGCGGTACTACATTTACCAAAGTTCTACATCAAAACTATCTCCTACTTCTTGTCCGTTGGAGCGTCTTATTGCCTTCCAGACAAAACCAAATGCTCCTTTCCCCACAGCTTTGATTGGCTGGTATTCTTCTTCAAACTGCCCGTCACAGGCCCGAGAATGTTCAAGATCCAGAGTGGAGCGCAGCGCTTCTCCTTGACCGGCATCACCCGCCCTCTGATAGAAGGAACACACAAACAAAATGCAAGTTACACAGCTGCTGAGGGTACATTAAAGTGAAACGATCTT